AATAAATAGAAAAATAAATGAAATGAATCAGAAAATCAGAAAAGAGGGTGGGAAAGACGAGGTTTCGAATTTTTGGAAAAGAGAAACGATAAATCAAAAGGGAGGTGGAAAGAAGAAAAACAGAAGAAAAAAAAAATAAAATTCGAAGTAGGGGGGAAGGGGAATGAAGAAGTGAAGGAGAAAAGAAAGAAATAGGTGGGGGGAGAGAAAAAGATGAAGTGGGAGGTAGGGGGATGGTGTGGTGGTAGGTGGGGGAGAGGAGGGATGGGGAAAGGTGGAGAGAGATCAAGAAGGAAAGGTGGAGAGAGATCAAGAAGGAAGGAGAAAATAAAGAAAGAAAAGAAGAGATGAAGAAAATAGAGTAAAAGAATGGGTGGTGGGAGAAAGGTGGGGTGGGGAAGATAAAAGGAGGAGAGAAAAGATGCAGTAGAAGGTGGGGGAAAGAGAAGGGGTGAATAAGAGGAGAGTGGGTTAGTAGAGGGAGAGGGGAGAAGGGAGTGATACCTGGCCCTTGGTGTCTCCAAGGGCACAAGGTACACCAAAACCAAGAGGGTCTTGGTCTTTGCTGCAGCAGCCAGTTGGAGGAGAGAGGGGGGCTGAGATCTTGATCAGCCCCCAACAGCACTTCTGCAGATGTCCAGATGTAGGGTCTGCTGTGTGAGCAGGCCCTCTCCACCGTAGAGCACCCCCTAAGCAGGGGGGTCTTCAGTCCCACCACAGGCTGCCATGTGCACAGGCAGCAACAGCCACAAGGGGGGGAGGGGGAATAGCCAGCACGACACCTCTTCAACATGAGTGTGTCGTGCTACAAAGCCATGGACACACTGTGGCGAGTGTGTTATGAGGCTGCTTACGCACACGCATGGCTCTCTTCAACACGAGTGTGTCGTGCTACAAAGCCATGGACACACTGTGGCGAGTGTGTTATGAGGCTGCTTACGCACACGCATGGCTCGGTAGGTGCCTGGGTTCAAACCCCAGCGGCAGCAAAAATTCCCGGATCTTGATAAGATAAATCCGGGAGCGGGGCGGGGTGGGGCAGCGGGGTAGCGTGGGCGTGTGGCGCGTGCGGCGGCCTTGGCCTTGGTGCTCGCGCTCGTCATGACGCCTCTCTTTTCTGCCACGTGGCACCTCCTGCACGCGCCGCTTTTCCCCTGCGTTTTCACTGAAAAACGGCCGAAAACAGCGAAAAACCCGATGTCGGGTTTTGTTGTTTTCCTCAGCTGTGAGCGGGGAATGTGGTGGTGGGTGGGGAGCGGGGAACGTTCCCGCTCCGATACCAATGTAGCGGACCCACCAGGTGTGGTGCTCCGCTAGGGACAAAGATGAAGATGGAGGAAGAAGGGGGGAGCGAGATGGCACAACGCAGCTCCCCACGCAAGACTCCAACGCACGTACTCCAAAATGTGCAAGTGAAGAATGAGACTGAAAACAGAGAATGGCTGGGGTATACCCCAGTGGACTGACGGGACATGACTGAACTGGCTGGTACCGACAGAGGTACCGGCCTGGACTGGCCTACCCCGAATACAATACAGGCCTGTGAGAACA